TGGCCTATCTAAGGTCTTGAAAAAGAGAATTTCAGAGGTACCTTCTTTCGTTCAGAAGAAATGAAAACATCATTGAAAATCACATGACTCCAATTTTCACATATAACACGCCTTTGTATATGTCTGTACCAAGTTTAAAACCCAGTTGGACTGATGGTTTTGCAAATATACATATAGGCCTCCAAAGGATTCAACTTTGCGGCCAATCACCTGACTTATGAAATATGAATTTGGCTGTTGGTGGATTGGTCTCGTTGATAGCACATCTCACGGAGGAGATAATCCACGGAAATGTGGGAATTCAGGCAAGAAGTGGCCTATACCAGGGTGAGTGGTGATACTGCACTACCCATGTGGTCCTGACCGAGAAGCACATCTTTTAACTCTCATACAGGATTTTTATTAGTGTGACAGGATTTTTATTAGTGTTCTTGATGCGGCAATTTCTATGGATAGCCTATACTGTTGTAGAAATTTGTCCTTGATGAGGAACTGGAAGCCTAATGAATGGACAGTGCGGATAACAGCTGGGGGGAACATCGAGTGAGAACTCAAGGCATAGGGCGAGGAGTGCATCATGGAGGTTGCTATGTCGTTTGTCTTCTATGAAGCAAGCTCCTGTGAAAGATTTGACAGTCTCCAGTACAGCAAGAATGCGCTGGTGATTCCTTTTGATTACGTCAGCAGCAAAGGACACACCAACTGCATCTGGTGGATATGAAGAGATCTGGGGGTTTCAGTGAAGTGGAGGTGTTGCGGAGAGCAGCACATTGGTGACGATTTGATTAGATCTTTTCAATGGCCTTGTCCTAGTTAAGTGCATAGAAGTAGCAATGGACAACGCACTTGAGTTGGTGGTATGACAGGTGGTTTAACTAGATGTGAAGGGCACTGAAAAGGCCACACCAAACCTGCCAAGGGACAATGATGCACTTAAGTGTCAGACCAAGAGGTTCACCTTTGTAAACAACCAGGACACCATCTTTGACAAGGGTGGCCACACTGAGACATCACTTCACATCTTTGGCATTAATGACTTTTTGGAAGGTCGAGTCCATTGCAAGAGATAAGCATATGTAAAACGCAGATCTGAACACTCTGCCTGGAAGTCTGACTAGGCTGATTGGCTGGTGAATGGTAGCTTTGCTTTACCAGTGACAATGTCCTGTGTGGAGATATGCTGAATGACCTAGTCCTCTGTACACTTCACAAATGCACAGATCTGACAAGATGAGTCTGTGCAGTCAGGTACATTTTGATTGGCATAGTCTGATGGAATATTTGCCGATTCTGCTAGATTTCAAACTGTGGCTGGGAAATGGCTGACATTTGACAAGAATGATGACACTCAGGGGCTGGCAGAAAACTCTCCAAAGCATAGTTTCTCAAATGTTTGAGAAATGAACACAGGGTTGGCTGTGTGGGAGAATAGAAGTTTTGTGCCTTGACTGGATAATGTATGGATTGATATGCTTGGTGGCAGCGGCAATGGATAGTGTCTCAACTTCACAAGGAAGCCAGGAGGGCTGACGTACGTGAAGGTTTGGCACCAGCAAGAAACCAGCAAGGTGCAATGTACTTTGGTGTGTGAAGTACAGGTTGACTCCAGTACGGTGATTCTTGACAGCTGCGTCTGTGACAATCCATAGCTGGTCATCTGGGTGGGGTAAAGTAATTGTACAAGCCTTAGAAAGGGGAGCCTGAACGTCAGTGAACGCAACTTGGGGGATCTCCCAAGGACTTTTGCCACTGCAGTACAGGTCATCTGCAATCTTAGCCACTACGCCCTCCTTCCAGGACCTCTGACTCCAGGAACACAACACACGAACTCTTCCAAGGCAGTTCCTGACCATGGCATACCCATTGCTCATCTGGTGTAGACTCTGACTCTGTGGAAAGAATTGGCCTCTCCATGGAATTGGGGGATAGAAGATTCAAAGAAAGAGCTGGTAAGGTCAGTGGCAATAATGTGTTTCCACCGTGCAATTTGGCATGGAGTGGAATTGACATAAGACATTAGTGCCGGCTGTGGTTTGCTATAGCGGACAAAATCAGCAAAAGCTGTGACTAATTGAAAGCCATCACTTGGTTTCTTGACAGGATAGGAGGGGTTGAGGTATTTCAAAGTGATTTCTGTGTCTTCTGAAAGACACCTTTTTTGTCAAGTTTGTCAAACTTCTGTTGCAAGTATTGCAATCTGCCATAGAGTACTGTGGGAATCAAACTTTGCATTATTGGGGGCTGGACCGGGCCCATGTTGACAACAGCTTCAAAAGTCAAGTGTAATCGCTGCAGCCACTGAACTCTGGGTCGAAAACCTCATCACACTCCTGGTTGAGGGACCGAAATGCAGCATTTTTCGGCAGGCAGACTGTTGTCAGGATTAAGAGAGATTTGGTGGGAGTGTGGGGGATTCTTGGGGCAGATGCTTTGACAGGCTGCCATGGTCGAAATCATGCTTACATGTTGTGTCAGCATGTTGGGGTGGCACGAACACAGGGCAGACTTGACAAGTGCTCATGGCCTTTCAGCACTTGTGACCTGGTGGTCAGGTTAGGAATGTGAATCTTCCAAATCACACTGTCAGTTATGTCAAGGTGGGGAGGGCAGGTTTGGGCACAACCAGTCATGTTGGTATTCCAGCTATCAGTGTGGGGTTTGAGGGCAAAAGAACTGTCCGGTAATGAAATGTCTTTTGGAAGTTACACTTCAATGAACTCTCTGGGCAAGACAGTGGTAGAAGTAGAGGGGTGCATATGTACACGGCAGACATTGTGAGGCCTTGGTGTGACTTTGGGTGAGCCACAGAGGACTGTAGTTCCGCTGGTGAACGAAATGAAGCATTTGGCAGGTTGAACTGCCAAGTCATTGGTCTCCATGAAGGGCATGCCGCCAAGTGCTAAGACATCTAGGTTCAAAATCAGAAGGGCTTCAAACAGGAACTCAATCCCTTCATGAGAGAGAGTGATTTGCATCTCACCGATTAATATGAGAGGGGATGAATCATCTGCTGGATGAGTAGACTGGGAGTTCTTGATTGGGAGGCTGACACAGTTTGCAGCAGCTGTACTTACGATGTTTCCTATGGCTTCAGTATCGATGATGATATGGATGGTTTGATGGCCACAGAAAGTGTCCAAGAATGGGAATAGTCTTGTCTGGACTTGAAAGATGAAGGGGGTGTCTGAGTCATGACTCATGTCACAGTTCTCACCTTCATGTACAATGTAGGGCTTGCCATCTGGTTATGGAGCTCTGAGTAAACCTCTGACTACTGGTGACCTGGCCAACAGGCTTCTGGTAACCCGATTCCCACAGTGGGTATACTGCTGCACAAGCAACCCAGCCTCTATGTCTCCTAGCCACTACTTCTCAACCTACCACTTTAAGATAAGTGAACTACAATCATGGCCAAATCTTGTTGGGCCCCCACCCCTGGGCCCCCTCTCAATGTTGGGACTCAACATCGCAGTCTGCAATCCAGCTCAAGATGCTACCAATGTGTGTCCAACAATTTCAGCCAGGATTGTCTGAGTTTATAAGTGCCTATTATATGTATGTGGGGAGGGCCTGCTAACTTCATATCCTTGGATGTCATTGATAGGACAATAGAATATAAGGACACCAGATATCAACTTTGTTAACTAACAGAAGCATTAGGAACACTAAACTAACAGTGCATAAACATGTTTGTGTGAATTATCTATGCTGCCCAAAGACAAAATTGTAATGATTGCATTTCTTCACTTTCAGCAAACAGGATGCGTAGCATGCCCTCAAATAATATGGCAAGCGCAAGTGATATATACGACACGATAGTGAGCCACAACTCATCATTAAAGAATTAGAGTGCCTCACTTCCTTTCTTTTTGGATTTTGATAGATCATAGTTTCATTTTTTGAGCTGATAACGGAATAACAAAATAAGAGAACTCTAAAAGGATTGCAAGTTGTTTTCATGCCAATATGGGCCTTTCAAATTCTGAAACGTATCAATTTTGGACAGTTATGGGCCGAAATCCCATGTTGTATCATATTTGATAAATTCCTACAAAACAATTATTTTATACAACTAAATGGGTCTGTAGCATGGGATCTGTGGCAGACACTTGCATGAGGTCATGGGCATTGGAGGTCTAAATCATCTGGTCTTGTGCATGTGAGGTCAGGGGAATGAGGTTTGGGGCATGAGAGCAGGGGTAGGCCAAAATAGGGTCTAAAGATTTGAAATTCTGGAAGCTCGAGTGCCACGTACACAGTTTTGAAAGTGTCCACTGGGGCCTCTGTAAACTGCCCTATACCAATGTGTGTAAATACATTTATGACAGGTAGTTTTTCCCCAAAAAAATTATAGACAATGATTTGGTTTCCACAACTTGTATATATGTATTTGAAAGTGCATGTAATCCGTTTGTCATGTTCTTTTGTGTTTTGGCCAAGTTCTAACAGTCTCAAAATGTTTCCAGCCATGTTGGCTCCCACTCACTCTCTCATTTCTAGGGAGTCATACTAAATACGAGTGCATGTGCAAAACTCCCCATTACCTTCCTATGCTCTCGATGCACACCAGCTTCCAGACACACAGAGCTAAAGGCACTGAAGAATCTGAACACTTCATGATTATAAAGATGAACTAAGAAATTGACTGGAATGGGATTGAATCTGAACCTGCGACCTCCGGAAAACCATACTGGTGTTCAACCAACTGAGCTATCCAGCTCTACGTTGGTGGCTCTTCCCATTTGTCAGTATCTCTGTTCGGGGGTGCTTGCCAGAAGTCATTAAACCTGCACCATATGGCAAGGGATCATGTCCCAACTACATGATACAACCTGGGAAGTGGTCAACAGGGATCACTCAGAGAGAGGATACAGCTTTTTGAACATCAATCATGAAACAAACTACATACTTTCTGTTTTGAGCCTTTTTTCAATTCGGGGCCCACTAATACATAGATCACAGTGAATATCCATGGTACATGTACTTGTACGCATACTTACGGATTGAGCGTCACATATGCAGATAATCCTGAGTAGTCCCTGTCTGTAGTATAAATAAAAACACAAAAATGCAAAATATTTAGAATTCTACCAATTACTCCCATCAACTTCGAGACAAATGCCTGTAGCAATGCAGGAAACAAACTGTGAAAAAACACAACAGAAGGGGAGTCTGCTAATGAGTGATCTTATCTTGACATTGGTCCATGGCACTAAAAGGCATACTGGGGTTGTAATTGGACAGTCAGCATGCCAGTGGCATGCGAGTTCTGCAATTGGGTAGGCTGCAGCAGGCTTTAACTGCGGCATGCACAAAGCTTCCCTCAGTGCAGTCGCATGGCCACCATAAAGAATTGATGACTGGACTGCAAGTGTGCGGGCCACTTTTGGGCCACGATAGCAGTCAGGCTTGCTTTAAAAGCTAGAATTTGTTGAGGCCATGGGAGGTCGCAATTAGTCAATTACAATGGTAGTAAGCACCAGTGTTGTAGTCGAGACCGGACAGTCCAAGACCGAGACCTTAAAGTTCTGAGACCGAGACCAACCCCTTCAAAGTGGACCAAGATGGAGACCAAGACAGTCCGAGACCAAAAATAATAAACAACAACATTAGAAATAAACAAACAAGACAAAAAATTACAGTTATAAGTTATCACCTTTTATTCAGGATAATCACAGACGAAGTGACCAGTAGCTGTTTTGACAAACTGACACATAAACAAGACATGTCACTTGAGCATATAGTGGTTACACTTCAGGAATATCAGTTTTGATAGGTTGTCTGCACCCAGTCTTGCCCGATGTGGTCTCATGATGATTCTTTCATGTAAGAAGTAAAACGTTAAAGGTAGATGTGTCATCTGTTATAAGAACTTGGATTCTAAACTTCACAGTCACCCCTTGATTGCAGCTTTGACTACAAAGGGATATCTAGTGATGCAATTTTATGTTACATTGGCTTCTTTCTTTTTTCATAAATAAAAATAGGACTTAACTTCTACCAACAGATTTAAATACATTTTATAATTTCTGTCATGGAGTTGGGATAGGCGTTTATAGACATGCACATGTAGACCTGCAAGTTGCAAAATGGTAGCCAGATATTAATTTTTCTGACCAAGATTTTGATTTTTGAGGAATAATGGGGTACTTTATATCAGCAGCCAGAACATGGAGTCTCATCATACACTCTGATGGGAAAAGTGAGTGTTGGGCCTAACTGAAAAGACTGTGAATTCTGAAAGGTTTCCATACAAGATTTGCACTTACTTTCCTCTTTAGTAACTAATCAGTCCCCAGAAATCAATTAAATGTTATTAAAGTCAATTTTAACAGTGAGAAAATACAATCATTTTCAATGAGGACACTTAGCATTTTTCAGACCAGTCTCACAAGGTTTGTACACAGGGTGTCAAGTGCAAGTCTCATAAGTTATATGAAAACCTTTCTGTGAATTAATTGCTGGAAAATCAGGGAGGAAAATTTACTTTTTTTCCAAAAACTGTCCCAAATTACAGCGAAGATTGTGTGGGGTCAAAATATCACTAAATTGGAGCACTTCATTAGTTTTAAGAACACATACATGACAAAAATACAAGTGAATACCACCAAGGAGTGGGCCAAACTCCCCCCCCCCATAGAGCGGGTTGAGTCTACTACTGCACACCTAACAGATTATTCATTATTTCCTAGTCCAGTACTTCCATTCACTAAATTCTCGATCATCAGTAATGCACCCCCACTCGCTTGACCCCTGCCAAGGCAGCCGCCATGTTCTTTCTCTTTTTTCGATGCGCAAAGTGCGCTGAGGCCGCGTGGGGAGGGGGAGGGAGATTGGTAATCTTGTAGGTATGCAGTTGTAGACTCAACCCACTAAAGGGGAGGGGGGAGAGTCTACTACCCACAAACTACGCAGATTACCAATACCTATGCAGCGTAGCACCGAACCAACGGACAGTGGAAAAGCCAGGATGCATCTATCCACCACTAAGGAGACAAATGAGGTTAATACAGATACATGTATATAACAATAATAGAGCATGAGCCTTGTTACATTGTACTGTAATCAAAGTGGCCATTTGTTTCCTTGAGTTAGAGGACTATCGCCACATCATTACATGCATAGGAAATTAAGGTTATTCTGAAAGCATTACAAAAATAGAAAACTGCACATAAGGAGCATCTGAAGACAGGAGATCGCTCCATAATTTAAGAATCCAGATGTCCAATTATATTTAGCATCCAAGTATTATAACATTCCAGTTATGCACTAGAACAAAGAGCATGAGTGGATAAATAGTGATATTGACAAAAACTTGCTGAGTATGCCCCCAGTTGCGACTCAACAAGGCTGGTTTATCTCCCTCAACAACATACAGCAGCAGTTTGTGTGTCAGATGCTCGTATGTTACTGGTATTATCAGCTTCCCCCGTACTACGTTGGGTTCTCCTCCATAGGATTTCAGCTTTACTGTTGATGGCTCCAGTGGCCAGCTCTCAAGCTGTTGGTGGTAAGTTTCCGCAGATATGATGGATACTGCTACACTAGTGTCCAGCTCCATCTCAACTGGTGATCCTGCCAGATCAACGGTGGTAGTGATCCACTTCCAGTGGTTGCAGCTGCAACCCAAAGCCAATCTGGAAGTCAAAAGGGTGACTGCTTCAAAACCCAAACCGAGCTTCAGTCATCAGAAGAAGCCGTCAACCACTGGAAGTCATGCAAGTGGTGGTTCCAAATTAGTGCAGAACCAAGATAGTGGGAACTGCTACCGATGCTTGGGTCAACACTCCCCAAGAGATTGCCCCTTCAAGCAGGCAACTTGTTACTGCTGCAACAAAGTGGGTCATATCTGAAAGGCATGCAGAGAAAAACAGTATCAGAATCCGTCTTCTAAGGAGGGTAAAACCACCAAGCCTATGAAGCACCTAGGCACCAACACAGACAGTGATGAATCAGATTATCTGGTTTATACCATCAGTTCTGTCAGCTCACCTGCTAAAGGGATCACTACCACCGTTGATCTGGCAGGATCACCAGTTGAGATGGAGCTGGACACTAGTGCAGCAGTATCCATCATGTCTGCGGAAACTTACCACCAACAGCTTGAGAGCTGGCCACTGGAGCCATCAACAGTAAAGCTGAAATCCTATGGAGGAGAACCCAACGTAGTACGGGGCAAGCTGATAATACCAGTAACATACGAGCATCTGACACACAAACTGCTGCTGTATGTTGTTGAGGGAGATAAACCAGCCTTGTTGGGTCGCAACTGGTTGGACATAATCAGGGTAAACTGGCCAAAAATCTTCAGAGTGCAGGACAAGGACTACCCACATGTCAGTCCAGCCAAGGACATGGCAGGACTGAAGGAACAGTACAAAATGGTATTTAGTGATAAGGGAGGCCCAATCACTGATTTCAAGGCGCATATCCACATGGTTGAAAATGTTAAACCAGTGTTTTATAAAGCGCATCCTGTGCCATATGCTCTGAAGGAAAAGCTTGAAAAAAAGCGTAAAAAGCTGCAAGATGAAGGCATAATCAGTAAGGTTGAATGCAGCGAATGGGCCTCACCTATTGTCCCAGTAACAAAACCTGATGGTAGTTTGCGATTGTGTTGCGATTATAAGGTGTCAATCAATAAGTTGTTAGATGACACACAATATCCCTTGCCAAACGCAGGGGACTTGTTCGCGACACGTGAAGGGGGAAAAATTTTCACAAAGATTGACCTCACATAAGCTTACCTGCAACTCGAGTTGGATGAAGAATCCAAAAAGTTCTTGACCATAAACACTCACCTGGGACTGTTTCAGTTCAATAGGTTACCATTTGGTGTATCCTCGGCACCCGGGATATTTCAGGGAGTGATGGATCAGATATTACAGGGGACAGAGGCAGTTGTCTGCTATCTAGACAATATCCTCATCGCGGCCCCATCTGAACAGAGGCATAGTGACATTCTATGTCAGTGTATGTGAGGTCCTCAAGCGTTTGGAGAGATACAGTGTGCGGGTAAAAAGCCAAAAGTGTGAATGGCATAAACCATCAGTAGAGTACCTAGGGCATGTAGAAGATGCTGAAGGTATCCACACAACTGTAGAGAAGTTGGATGCAATCAAGCAAGCTCCCAGTCCCACCAAGAAGTACCTACTCAAGAAAGACATGACAAGCATTCCAGAAAGCAGATCGTGATAGGCTGAAGCTGGCTGAGCCCTGGGGAGCTGCGACGAAAGCACCTTGGTCGGATAGCCCAAGCCGGTGGCCAGGAGCCCTGGCAATGAATGGTTTTCCCGAAATGCGGTTGGTAAAGAGCCTGCATAGTTCGGTGGCACCTCTGAATGGGCGTGGGGCCTTCCCAGTGTGCAGCCTGGTGATCCATACCAATGAATAGACATCTTACACAGTAGGCAATGGTAGTAGGAAGACCGCTAAAGGACTTCCGAGCATTAAAAATTTAAATTTAATTAAAAAATAATTTATTAAACACACATAGTTTCTTAAAAAGAACAACACGCAAATTGCACGGAAAGAAACACAGACATTCTTCAGTATATGTAAAAAAAAAAGTACTCCAAAAGTAAGGGAACCCCAGTGGGTCAAAGACCATGAATATATACACCCTACATACTGGAGGGGTCATTCTTTGATATGAAGAGTAGTGTGAGCAGGAGCGTCATGTTTGAAACAAATCTGGAGGGCCTGACATTTGGTTGGATTTAGTCGAAGTTTGTTATCATTAGTCCATTGACTAAATTGGTCAAGAATCTTCTGAAGTTGGCTGTTAAAAGGATGAGAATGACTTCCCACTAGTGTTAAGTCCTCTATGTATTTCCAACAATTTATACTATTAGGGACATGGACAGCAGCATCATTAATGATAACCAGAAACCCAATAGGTCCCAGTTTAGTTCGCTGTGGGAGGCCACTGGTCAATGTTTTGTATGTAGACAATATCTGATTATATCGAAATCACTGCATCCAGTTGCCAAGAAAGCTGCACAACCAAGGGACAATGGATCTGCGGACTCCCAAGTGAATGA